CTGAACTTTCCTTAGTTCGGTCTAGTCTGTGGCGTTTTTAGACCCATTTTCATGATTTTTCTGTGAACTGTAAGTGGTAATTACTATTTATCTGGATTATATCTCTTTAAAAAATGGTTTATTTCTCATCTTGATATTTTGTGTCTGCTAAAAATTATTTGTCATTGTTAATAATACTTTTCAGAATTTACCGATATTTGACCGATACATACAAAAATAAGAATCCAATGCTTATATTTATATTCCCTAATTTTCTCTCTTCATAATTGTTTATTTCGTAATTTTTAATTATGAATTTAGCATATTTCAACACTGGTACATGTATGCTTAACAGACGTAAGGGCCTTTTATGACACTGGGGAAAAAACTTAAATGACTATTGCGAGAAAATAAATAGTAAATTTATTTTAAACGCATAACTGTTGTATTTTACAAATATTAAACAGGGTTGTCGGGTTTTTTTAAATTGAGTGAAAAAGTATGCATATTGGTTTTCCTAAATATTAAATATATATATATATATATATATATATATATATATATATATATATATATATATATATATATATATATATATATATATATATATATATATAAAAAGCACAAAAAAACCAACAACACTGTATATCCTAAGTGTCGGATCTACCAAGTAGATACAAGGTCACGGATGGAAATTTATATAAAGCACTAAAAATGACCAACGACACGAACAATAAAAATTGTCAAATTTTCGGGGCGTCCCGAAAATTTGACAATTTTTATTGTTCGTGTCGTTGGTCATTTTTAGTGCTTTATATATATATATATATATATATATATATATATATATATATATATATATATATATATATATATATATATATATATATATATATATTTGTTCGTCGTTGGATAAAGATATTTTTCTTGCACAAGGTGTTCTTTTCAAGTTATTGACAGAGCATGTTACATATATTTAGAACATGAACAAAGTATAGAAAAGTGATTATGATTAGTTGGTGGCAAACACCTTTGTTATCAGAACACTTCTTGGATAATTATTATTTTCTTGATAAGATCGATTTAAAAAAAAATTGAAGATTGATTGATTGATTGCATATTGTTTAAAGTCCCTCTCGAGAATTTTTCACTCATATGGAGACGTCACCGTATGCCAGTGAAGGGCTTAAAATTTTGACCTTTACTCGGCACTCAGGGCCATTGAGCAGTGAGGGATCTTTATCGTGCCAACGCCTGCCGCTGACACGGGGCCTCGGTTTTGAAGGTCTTATCCGAAGGACCCGCAACTTTCACTTTAAAGTGCCGAGCACATGGCGAAGGAACAGTTGCTACCAATTTTAACGACTAGGTCAGTTGCCGCCGAGATACGAACTCACGACCTCCCGATCACGGAGCGAGCGCTCTACGGACTGAGCTACCGTGAACGGTAAAAAATTGAAGATCTCAAAGAATTATTCATTATGAATTTATAAAAAATAATCAAGTCGATACGTGATATGGATTTTCGGATTGGTCCGTGATATAGGGTATTGTGACGTCACCCCTATCACCCCAAGTAGAATTGGTGGGTTTACTACTATGAATATGAAAATTATCATAAATTAAACTCACTTTCATTTTTTTAAGGTAAAGTTACTGAAACCTTTGACACATTACACATTACAAATCAGCAATTTTGTTACGTAAACCAGGCTTTTGCGACTTCTACTCCTCTTGGGAGTTTTCAAAGAACGATAACTATTGCAGAAAGAAACACTAGATATCTGAAGAGGTGGAATATGATGAAAAGCATGCCGACGACCGTGAAATATAAGTTTATGGCCGATCAAATGCTAATGTAGAACCAATCAGGTAATGTATTGTGAAGAATAATTATAATGAGGTATAATAATATCCGATAATAGAGAGTGACAATTTCAATAAACACCCTACGTTTCTGTAATACCCACTCACTATGGCTTGTTCACCTGTGTTCACTTGTATTTTTATTAAACGTCCCTTATAACACAGTGGGATTTCAATATTTCCGTTTCTCTCAACAATATTTATGCTTGCAAAATAAGCAATACATGTGGATTAGTATTTTGACTAAATGGATTGCATGTAGACACTTAAAAACATTCGCATCGACTGAAGTACAATGTATCTTATATTTTAAATAGAATTAAGGAGTAAAAACTCAATATCCCATTAATTCTACTTAAAATATAAGATACCTTAAGAAAAGATATCTTATTTTGTATAAACTGCAGTTTCTATCTGTCATATCTATTTTGTAGTTCTCTTTTATAACTGAGAATTTTCTTTTATTCTGAGGGTTTGAGATCTTTCCTCTAGAAACAAGGTGGTAGAATTTTGTGTTTCTTGCATATCATGTACTTTATTGTGTACTTTATTGTATTATTCATCATAAATCATAGCAAAATGTCTACTGTGCTTTTGTATACTAGTAATTGCTTTAAAGTGAAAAAATTTGATATTTTCCTGTATAAACCTATAGTAAATTTTCCTTTATTTCTGTCCCTTAAAATTACATGAACGGTACAAATGATATAAACACTTTTTCATTGTAAGTAACATATGGTACAAAATTAAAGATGTGACCTTTAAAAAGTATACATGTTTCTATGCATTTTCAAAAGTATACTCGTCTGTTAACTTTCGCGGATTCGAAGTGCTTGTGTCCATAACCCTAGAATTTTGCTCATCCCTGACCCTTTAAGTTTCACTTTTCTAAAAGTTCTTTGATCTGGACAAGTCAGGGATCGTCTAGCAAGTTAATCATATTTTATACAAACCCTGAGACGTGCTACTACCCCAAAAAAGCGTGTGACTTTTGTGCGCTTTCCGTTTCGTGCAAACCGTGTAGCGTTTCGTGTAAACCGTGCAGCGTTTCGTGTAAGCTTCAAAGCGTTTCGTGCAAACCGTGTAGCGAGTGTGCGAGAAGCGTGTGAGAAACTTGTGACTTTCGTGCAAGAATCGTGTAGGATTCATTCGGAAGTCATTTCATTTTAAATATGGCTATTGATGGTTCAGGACGTCAAATTGTATTAATATTTTGTTATTGAATTAGTTATGCTTGTGATATTTTCGGAGTAAAAACAAGAAAAAATGGAACAACAATGAATGAAATTACACGGTAATGTATAATATATATTTGTTTGTTTTCTTTTCCTTCTAAAGAAAATGTGTTCAAATTATTCAACTACTAGTATATACAACACATTGAATTCCATATACTATCAACACGATCATGGCTTCTTAATTTTTTTCTCAAAGAAAGAAAGCAAAAATCCGGTATTATTTTTCTTTTAATTTAAAGCAAAAATATATCGGGACTCCGCTCTTGTCTTTAAATTTAAAGTACGCGAAAGAAAGTTTTGAAACGATGTGTCATTTAATACTCTTTACTACAAAAAACTTGTTGCTCATTATTGTCAAATAAATGGAATTTATAATTTTAATTCACATTCACTGACGATAACATGTTTAGAAACTGTGGGGTCGGGGGGTGGGGTTAAATTAAAATTTACTAGAACAGTCTTTCATTTTTTGTTGTAACTTTCAATCTAATGTTAGTTTAAATAAATGCTTAATTTTCTATTATTTTTTAAAATCCTTTGTTAAATGTGTGCACAGATACACCCCTTAAAAATGTATATATTGGAATCTTCTTTCCGCCTTTCAACTGTGATCAAGGTCATTTACAACAGCGATCACAGGCTCCGAGTGCATGGCAACTGAAAACCTGTTTTGCTATATGTACATGTTGAGTCACGGCTTAATGACATCTGAAAAATATGACTGGGTTTTATTATTATTATTTTTTAATAAAATGGTTCTATAAATATTTAATTGGTACAACTTATATATCAGCGGATTTCATCTTTTAGTTGTAAATCCGAATATCTAGCCGTAAACAGTAAAATAAACAGAACTGATTTGGTAGTCTTTTCATGAATATCATGTAAGAAAAGCTTAGGAGTAAATCATGAATACATGTAATTGTAATTATTTGTTTTATAAATCACTTACTTTTTATTACAAGCAATATGAGCTGCATGTTTGACATCAGAAAAAAATATTTCAAATTTGTAATCAATTATTTCAATGACAGGAAAATAGAACGTTTATAAACATCTGTTGTTCATATTTGCTATATAGAAGAACTTTTTATAAGCTTTGATTGAAGCAAAATTGAATTATTGTCGTCCTCTACAATAATGATTTCCTATGTAATACTGTATATTCGGTTGTACAGAAATATTTCTTCTGAAACATTTTAAAACTTTATTTTGGTCTTCTTGATCATAAGGGTTTAGATTGCATACAAATTAATCATAACACATTTTACCAACAAAATAAAATTCTCAAAAATGCAGCTCATATTGCTTTCATCTAAGATATACCTGAATGCCGGTGTAAAGATTAGTTGAGTAGTTGCTGAGAATATTGCGACGAAAATAAACAGGAAGTTGATATCAGATTTGAATAAAAATTAATCCAAACATATGCCATGCATCAGAGAAGATTGTGTTAAAATTTCAAGCATCTGAAATGAGTAGTTGCTGAGGAAACTGCAAAGAAAATGTATTACGAAGGGACAGACAGACGGAGGGACAGCTAGACGGACGGACATACAGACGCTGTATATCAAATATAAAATAATGGCTTTGAAAATTGACAATCTTTGTACACTTTTTCAGAATATGAGGAAATTAAATTTCTGTCTGTTTATTTTTCTTAACTTTTCCGACGCTTTTGAATCACTAAACCCCAAGCCCTTGTACACAATAGTACTTTTTATCGAATTTTGAGAGTGTTCCAGGTTCCTTAGCTTCAGCTTTTATAATTTATACACACTGATTTTACATGCTATAACCTTAAAACATTAACATCATTCACCTGAATAAAAAAAATATGAAATTTTTGCCAGACAAACGACAATCTTTCCAATGACATATTAAAAAATAGTTCTAAGAAATCGAAAAATTCATCTGTTAGAAATCGAGCTCTTTCTCACAGATGAAAAACTTATTTCTTCTGCATTCGGTATCGTCCCAGAATCCGTTTGAGCAGAATTGAACACAATCTTTTCCCTTTATGTCATCAGGCTGACCTTTGTACCAGTTTGTAAAATCGACTGAGGTTCTGCGATTCCAGGTAAAATGGCCTTCCTTATCCATGTCTGCTGCTCCGATCCAGGTCTTACAGCATTGATACCAAATGTCACACTCCACTAAAAATAACAAACCAATTGGGGCAGTCTACTAAAAATAACAAACCAATTGGGACAGTCTACTAAAAATAACAAACCAATCGGGACAGTGGACTAAAATGTCACCAATTGGGACACTGTACTAAATGTAACAAACCAATTGGGACAGCCAACTTAAAATAACAGACCAGTTGGGTCAGTGGAGTGAAATAACGAATGAATAACGGATCATGTTTTCATAACGTTTAGACAGCTGAGCTAATCTGAGTCAATTTTTGAAATTTTTAAATTTCAGCCTCATGAAAAGGTCAGTATCTATACTTTAGATATATTTTATTGAATGCTAGTAATACAATAAATATTGGGCAACAGGTAAGGCCTATATCCACCCTTTCCTCAAATATCCATAATGAATATTGCATTTGAATATTTTGAAACATTAGCATTTTTAGAGTACGTAGGTGATAAAGGATTTTTGTAGGGTCTACATAATAAGACATGATTATTTGCTGACCGTAAGTCTAAATTTACCACCATGAGTGGGAAAATGGGAAAACTCATTAGTAAGCAATTCTTTTGAACTGCTTATAAGTGATTTAATGTCGGAATAAATGATAAAAGATCATTTTTTGAAAATGTATTTATACAAACTAAAAATTCAGAAAAAAGCATTTTGTTCATTGTGTATGCAAAGCCCATTTTCATCTATGATTGATTGATTGATTGATTGTATATTGTTTACCGTCCCTCTCGAGAATTTTTCACTCATATTGAGACGTCACCGTATGCCGGTGAAGGGCTTCAAATTTTGACCTTTACTCGGCACTCAGGGCCATTGAGCAGTGAGGGATCTTTATCGTGCCAACGCCTGCCGCTGACACGGGGCCTCGGTTTTTAAGGTCTCATCCAAAGGACCCGCAACTTTCACTTCAAACTGCTGAGCGCATGGCGAAGGAACAGTTGCTACACATTTTAACGACTAGGTTAGTCGCGGCCAAGATATGAACTCAAGACCTCCCGATCACGGAGCGAGCACTCTACCGACTGAGCTACCGTGAACCGTATTTCATCGATAAAGGATTGGTCTGAAAACTATGGAAATCTACCTTTTAATTATTAACTGTATTTATTTAATGTGATTTTCTCATTTTCGGTACAAATGCCTTTTTTTGGTCTAAAATAGTTATTATTTTCAATTAAAAGATTTTAGACTAAAGAAAAGAAATCTTACTTGTATTCCAAGGTAAAATAAGCGTCTCTTGAATCCATGTATTTTCTGCCATGGTTTCTACCTCAACAAGGTAAGCTCCTTGAAGTTCACATTGTGCCTAGATTTTAAAATTCGTAAATTGTACAAATAAGTTTTTCATACTGTAAACCAACTTTTATCCGCGTGCGAGAAAGTTTCGCGGAGTTCGCGAGACCCTCGTCATCGCGAATATTTCTCGTCGCGAACCGGGCCTTTAAGTGTTATTCGTCTATAAATTAACGATCCAAAAAGGCTTGATCGCAAAAATTAATCGTCGCGATGTAGTTTACCCTTGCTAAATCGTGAAATAAAGTCGTCGCGAAGAAAAGTTGGTTTACAGTAAATTTAATAATTTAAAAGAGTTATTCAAAAGACAATTATAAGAGCTTTATTCTTTAATAACTAATATCCCCCCCCAATTCAAACTTTCAACGAGAAATATTTAATAATCGCAAGTGAGTTAAGGCTAAATATGGATATTTTTATGCAAATGAGCTAGTAAAACTCATAAGTTGTATATTTTATGTACAGAGAAAGTTGAAATTGATTACTTAGTACCCACAGTTTATTAATGCAAGTGCACATTATGACGTCATATTACGACGTCATTGTTCTTTCCCATTCAAGGTAATAAATCACATCAAGAGAATCACGTCGGCGCAAGAACATATCCTATATAATTTAAAATAAACAATGTATAATATTAAGGAGAATATTCTTAAGATTAATAAAATTGCTGCACAAATCCTATGCACTTTCTCAATCGATAAAAATTTTAGAAAAATTACACTGGACTGTGAATACTTACCCTGTTCAAACTTAAAGTTGCATGAATAGTAACTAAACAAGTGCAGTGCCGACATTTGTGCAGCAATATCTTAAATCCTTTGAATATTCTGTGTCTTTTTAAACCTTGTTTCTGTAAAACAAAGTAAGGTATGCCCTTGCGCCGAAGCGATTTTGTTGATGTTTCTTATAAACTTGTATAGCAGAGGTCGATGACATCATAATATGACGTCATAATGTGTACTGGCTATTGCATGTCGTAGGTATCAAAATTTTATTAGAAAACAAGTCTTAACATTTTCTGTGCAGTAGGTAGAGCAATTATGGAATCTAATTAGATATTTTTGCATAGAAACCTCCATATGTAGCCATAACTCACTTGCGATATTTTTAAACAGTGGAAAATATATGCTAACTTAAAAGCACTGAATATTTTCATACGCCATGACGTCATATGATTGAAATAACGTTACTTAAATGACGTAAATTTAAAATTTTCATGATCTTTACAGAAAAATGTATATTTTACGTCGATAAAAGTAAAAGTCACAAAGCGCAGGTCTAATCAGGCTCAAAATTTTGATATATGTAGATTGATAATATCAATATAATATGTAAATATTGTTCCTGAGCAAACTTGCCCTCTATAAATTTTAAAACTAAAATTGTTGAAATTTTGTCCATTTTGTACTGTTTCTAAAAATGATATAAATTCGGACTGGTTTGTGACGTCATAAAACCAGAAAGTGTCAATAAACTGCTTTGAAAGTATAATGTGTTCTGTTAATATTTGTTTCTCAGACTATTTATAAAATTCAGCACATTTCAAGCATTTTTCAAAATTTGACTTTTGTGGGGCAAACATTTGCAATATACTGCATATAGTTCTTTACACAACACAAAATATTAACTTTATTTTACTATAATTATTTTTATATGATTATTTTTATATGCATTTAGGTTTTTAAGTGCAGAATAATTAACTATGCACCCTTTGATACTAGCGTGTGTTACTTATAAATAAAATTCAATGAAATTGCATCTTTTGTTTTTAAAAAAGCTTTTCGTAACATTATTTTAAAAGCTACTGACAGACGGATAGGTACAATGTACATAAATATACAGGAACAAAATAAGTTGAAGTTTAGATTCATAAAGATCAATTGTTAATTATTAGCAAACTTTTTCTTTCAAGTTATTATACATGTTTTGGGACGTGCTACTATCCCAAAATGCATGTGACTTTCGTGTGCCTCTTCGTTTCGTGCAAACCGTGTAAAAATTCGTTTGATCAGTGCAGCGTTTCGTGCAAACCGTGCAGCGCTTCGTACAAATGTGGAAGCGTTTCGTGCAAACCATGTTGCATATTGTGTAAAACGTGTAGGGAACGTGTACCATTCGCGCAGCATGCGTATGGGGTAGTTGAGCGTATCAGGGTCTGTAGTAATTTTAATTGATTGTTTGATTCTTTATATTATTTGTTTTCCCATACACATTTTCTAAAAACAAAAAAAATACAAACGCAAAACTACCTTAGAGTCCTCTAAGTAAACGAAGATATAAACCCTGCCAAATGGAATTACGGCTAAAAGGTTGCATTCCGTGCATCAAATTTTGGGTTTAATCTAAAAGCTGTGCACTGTTTCTTTTCTTTATAAAAAGAATGCGTGAAATAGTTTTTAACGTATACATGTATATATATATATTTTTCTAATTCAATTTTTAATTAATTTATATAAACGTCCTCTGAATAAATTAGATTTTTTCAGGAATCATTAACATATGATTAATGAATTATATATTCATTTCATATCCAAAGACACACTGTCTATGTTACAAGTGTCAGCTATTTAATGACAACTATTTAAGGTCTTTAACCAAAGGGTTACATATGTTAGAAGAGATCATATTGCAGGTGAAAACAATCACGATACAAAAAACTAAGTTTTTGATTTCCAAAAATCATTAAATAAATCTAATTAAAATTGAATTCAAATTTATTTACAGGTACAAGTCGCAAAATAATGAATAAACATATCATTTACCTTAGCATCGGTCCAGTTCATCCTTGTGTTGCTTAGAAAATAGCAATGTCCATCAAAGGGTACCCATTCAGCAGGGCAAACTGATAAAGAGATTCATTCTTTGTCATCAATGGAAATGATGTTTTATAAATTTGCAGTTGAAAGAAAGTTTATAATAAAAAATATTTTTAAGTTTGTTAATGTATGCAGGGTATATAAACAAAAAAATTAAGCCCTTAAGCATAAGTTTTAGCAGGTGCAGTTGTATTTAAATACAAAAATATTTTATACTTCCAAAAAGAGGTACTGTACAGTAATATTTCTAAATACAAGGGAGGTAAATGCCCTATAAAAAATTGTCGAAATTGTATGCCCCAATTTACTTTGAATCTTTTATAACATTCATAACAATTAATATCTGATATCAAATTAAAACTTTTTTATGGATTTCAAGTTCAGATGAGAAGTTTTTTTTAGTTGAAATCTGTATTAATTTTCAAACATAACATTGTATCAGAGTCCTGTTTTAATAAAATCATTTCTTGAACAAATTAGTACCAACTATTTAAAAGCTATGACCAAAATATTCTTATTTAAGGGAAAATTAAATTCATAGTCAAGATCCTATCACCTAAATAAATAACATATAAATATACTTTACAAATACTTACAATTATTCTTAAACCAATATTCCCATCCTACTTCTGCACTTGTCCTATTTATCGATAATTCGGTCAGATAACTATTCAAGAGCTTACAAGATGATAATCTCTTGCTGTACAAGACAGCGACACATGCTGGCTTTAGCACAAAGCATTGTAAACTGCACTCTATCAGACCAACTCCTTCGTAAATCTTTATATAGTAAATAGTCTGGGTTGGCAAAGTGTTGTCAAAAGTAATATTTCTTATCAGGTGTCCTTCAAAGATAAAAGAACACAAGAATTTTCTAAAGACAATCAGAAAAACACAGACAAGAACGCCATATCTGATCATTTTCCTATACAGCAGTTAGACGTTATGGCGTTGTTATCAGTTCACTTTCTGATTAAGTGAATTCATGATATTTCACTTTTGTATTGAACTTCTATAAAAACAATAGTTGTACCCTTACCTTACCTTTTTTTTTTAAAAATATGAAATAATTAGCATCTTATTCAAACACTGATGCATACTTGTTCCGCTGTAAAGGTATTTGTTTGAATGGACTTATTGACGACGTCTTTTATTGTTCGTTATATTCATCAATTCATAATTCATTGCAATTTAATAGCGCTCTTTTATACACACTTCACCAGCAGTAAAATATTAATTTTGATACAATTGTCATTTGTTCTTTCGTGCTGTATCTAAAGCATTAATTATTTAAACACATGATAATGATTGCTTTAAATGTAAAAAATGTAAATTATTTTCCTGGACTATTGAATAAAGCATCCATGCACGAAGAACATTTCATAGAACACTAGATATTTTATTTTTGTATCTATAGCATTTTTTTTCAAGATCACAACACAGTTAAATGCTTTACGTGTAAAGAGCTTAGATGTATTACACAGCATTAAATTTGTCGATCAATATCTCAAACAATTTTTTAAGTCTATATGTATATTTTTCTTTCCTTACCAAAATACAGTCTAATTAATACAAACACTCACAAAAAGGAGTATAATAGTGGTACCAAAGCATTCCCATAGAAGTCCTCCAGTGGTACCAAAGCAGTCCCATAGAAGTCCTTCAGTGGTACCAAAGCATTCCCATAGATGTCCTTCAGTGGTACCACAGCATTCCCATAGATGTCCTTCAGTGGTACCAAAGCAGACCCATAGAAGTCCTCCAGTGGTACCACAGAATTCCCATAGAAGTTCTTCAGTGGTACCAAAGCAGTCTCATAGCAATCCTGCAGTGGTGGTCCCAGAAAGATGTTGTAGTGGGCGCGATAATTCATAAAATGGACGGAGCTTGCTCAGATCATTAATGAAATTGTCACCATTATAAACTTTAAGTCAGTTAACTTTTACACTGATAAAATCTCGAATAATGTATCACCATGCATGTGGTATAGGAATTGTACACCATTTTAAAACGTCTGTTTCCCGTAAACTTTCTTCAAATCATGTGCAGAGGCGTAGAGAACCTAAAGTGTTTTTATATGATGTGTATGGCTTTTTATTTATCGGTCAGCCAATACAGCTTTTATATCTTAAACATACTAAAAAAAATCATAATTAAAGAAAAGTTTCCTATATTATAAAACATACTTAAACTTTTTTAAAAAATAAATAAATTGTGTTTGTTTAACTTTTTGATAAAGAATACATCCTTTCATTAAACAAAGCACGAATAACTGATCAAATTACTTATGTAAAGGCGAAATGATAGAAAAATATATTTCATGATCGTTTAATAAATCATTGAATAGATTTTTAAGAGTTATAAACAGCTTTGATTTTTGTTTTCCTAAACGTGGTATATTTTTTTAATTACTTGTAATTACTTGTAAAACTAGAGGTACTGTGAGCAATGAGCTCACTAAATGATACACCCGCCTCACGTATGGTTATAATGGTAAAGTCATGTTTTGCTGTGGCCTAGAAACCCAAAATATGTGTCGGATCAAAAAGTGAAATAGGGGGTGCACAATGGAAATATGTTATAAAGATTCAGTGAAAGTTTCATTATATTTCATTCAGGGGTATAAGAGATGTTGCGGATAAGAGATGGGTGCCCAAGAGCGTAACAACAGACAGACGGACGGACGCATAGACGGACGGACGGACATACAGATTACAGTATACCCTCCCACTTTTCAAGCGGGGATATACTTATATCCTGTATAGCAGGTTGCTCTAAATTTAAACCTTTTTATTTTAAAACATTATTTTTTTTTTTTAAAAAAGAAAAAAAAGGCATATATCTGTTCTTAAGGAAATTAATAACAACTGAAAGTATTTTGTTTCTAACTCATGTGTTAAGACAAAAGCATGAAAGAAAAATTCATGGCATTTTTTACTACTAGAACAACTTTTTGTATACTTGTGTAATTATCAACATTCCTTTTTCTGATTTCCAGTACTCGCGCGAACGAAATCACAATACATATACTTGTAATGGTTAATTGTCTCACAGCTATTACCTGTATATACCCCTTGGCGAGTATCCAGGTAATGTTGCGTATGAAATCATGGAACCCCAGAGGTATCATGTACGTTACCCCATATCTGTTTAAACTTTTGAACGACATTAACATTTTTTGCCGAAGAGCACTTGCTTCTTCCAGAGCAAATGCATTTTCTAGACTCTATTGACTCTACTCTTAATGCATACGGTATTTGTGATAAGCGTATGTCCATTGAGCTAGAAAAAAACGAACCCGTTCGGAAGGTTTTGGAGATATACTGACACGCAAAAGAAACGCAACAAGCAGTAATCTACAAATGTTTGATTTTTTATCTTATGATTTTCAAAAGCGAATAAAGTAATACTAAACTCTCTTTTCAGAACATCAGAGATTTTATAAAAATGTTGTTTGTTTATCTGTTTACTTTACTAAGTAAAATATGACTGTTAAAACATCCTCCTCCCAGCCATTCAGGTAAAACGTACAAGACTGTCCTAAACAACAATTGCAGCTTAATTTTTACGATACAATAGGTTCATTAATATCGAGATCTGAGCGAAGGAATTATTCTTTGGTATTTCTAAATGCCTGTTTTCCAGATTATTAGGTCGAATTTTCTCTAACTTAGAGCAATGTAGCCACCCCTGGACTTCCGGTACAAGGACTGTCCTTAATGTATATGATACGTAAGACCTTTTTGAGGCGTAATGTAGTGAAATTTCGCATCAGCAACTCTCCATCACCTTTACATTGAAATTTTCCAGCTAGAACAATGGAAATACGTACAGAAGCCATTTTCAAGTAGCCTTAGCATCGTTACGGGAAGCGAAAGGAGAGTTTATTTTTTGAAATATTGCTCCATTACTTATGATGAACAGAAAAAAACCCTTAAAACTCCATAATATTGTCAAATGTTTTCTTAAGCATGCAATTTTTGATTTCTGTTAAGCAGACTCAAACTTGACTTCCGGTTATGGTATGGAAATCGTTCAACCGTAAAATTACCGACCTTTACCTAATTGAAGATATTCATAATTTTAAGATACAAAATTATTTACTTTACATAATTATTTCCCCCTAAAGTAGGGTGTTGCGTTTCTTTTGCGTGTCAGTATATTTCGATTTTGTGGCGAAATTGCTTACCTGTGTTCCCAGTCGAAAGTGTTTGTAATGATCGTGTGGTTGTCGCCGTCGGTGGATGCAAGAACACTGAAATTCATATAATCGGTGTCCTGTTACATTTACCTTCAACTAACTCAAGTTAGAAAAATACAGAATAGTGCTAGAACATGTAGAAAAACTGTATGACGCTTATAGTTCAACCTGTTATATTCTCGGTGACATCAATGCTCGTTTATCAAATGAATATGGAGACAAAAATCGCGTCAAATCCAACGAGCGTGGGCGAATCATCAAGGATTTTATGAATGAACGTAGACTTGAGTCGTTGACAAGCCAAGTAATAGTACTGGTCCATCTTACTCCGATGTTGCTCACAACGGAGAGCAAACGCCTTTGATAGACATTGTGCTAGTTGCACAGGATAAACTTGACTTTGTAAGGACCGCAGGAATAATTGAGGACCACTATCTAAACTGTTCAGACCATCTTCCGATTATTGTTGACATCTCGCTCGAAGGTATATTACCTGGAGGAACGAAAACCCATGGTGAAGATTTTAGTATCAACTGGAGCAAAGTATCAGATGATGATGCATGTACATAAAGGCAGTTAATTAGAGAAATTACTGATAGCTTTACACTTGATGAATGTTCAGCTGTCGGCATTGGAGAGTACTTTGATAGGATAACAAGATCCCTAACAGATGCTTAACTTTCTTTACCAGTAAAACGTTACCGTCCTTACCTAAAACCGTACTGGAATTATGGAAATGTCAAGGAACTACATACATATATATCAA